ATTGCAATTCCTATGTTTAACGTAAGTCTCGAAGTTGTGCCACTCGTCCCATACTAATCACTTGATTTAGTATCTTCAATGCCCTATTCCTTGTCTATGCCATCATTCAGATCGGTGAAATCCGAAGCTCTCTTAGTCCAGCCGTCTCGAATGGCTTCTCCCATATACCTATCGACGTCCTCACGACCATCATCCCAATTGTTATCTCGGTTGCCGAATTGGCGTATATCGCCTTGGGCTGGAAAATCTACACGGAGTTTGGCTGGAAGGTCTACAAGTTCCTCGGCGCGGATCGCAACATCAAGAAGATGTACGCGAACTTCCAGATCTTCGAGTGTCTGGTCAAGTTCGACGTGTTCTTCTGGGTGGGATTCTCCGTTCAGTTCATATGGCTGGTTCTCCAGAGTAATGACTGGGAATACTACGTCACCGTTGCCGCTCTTCCCTTATCGATTGTGCTGTTAGTGGAGGGTCATCTTGCGGCACGGCATGAAAATAAATGGATGATGGCGACCTTCATGTCAGGATGTGTCGGTGCATTGATATATTTCATCTACAAGGTTCGTTCTTCTTTTGATTTCCTGTTTTCACCGACTTATCCCACGTCTTAATCTCTACCAGCTCGTCAAGGTGCTGATGTTCAAGGATACGGAGCAGTTCCATCTCGTTTGGAAGACTCTGACAACCTTTTGTGAGTATTTTGTCTTACGTGCTCACAATCGCCGCTCACTTATACTTCAACAGCCCTTATTGCGATAACTTTACTTCTGGTGACGTTCATCTTGGCTTGCATAGTTATGGCCAATTTTGGCCGTGGGTTGAAGACACAATGTAGGATGCTTCACCATATTGACGCGTTCGGTGATGCTCATCGTTTCCCTAGTTGCGAAGAACAAAGGTGCTGGCCACGCACGGTGGGGATCGCAAACACTGAACCGAGCCATGGCGACACATCCAAACCGCATGAGCATAGAATAACCTCGTCATCCTCCCCGTTCTCCATCTGTTCATCCGACCTGTGTACTCATACTCTGCCGTGCCACACGACGACGGACACTGCTTGTTTATTACGATTAGCCATTGGTCCACCTTCCTCGATTATCGTCAGATTCGCGTCTGTCGCCCATTAGCATGTCTCAACTTCTCCCAAGCTGAGACCTGCTTGTGTTTCCATTATTCATCATTTATCATAAATTCGCGCTAGATAGAATGTTGCTGGGTCCATCGTCTACTAGCGTCCCTACTCTCTTTTCGACCCGTTCACATTTCTGTGTCATACCTTTGTGGTTGCATAGTTTGATCTTGGAGGGGGTGGTATAGATGTATTGTTAGGATTTGTCTCAACTTTTTCTACGATGACCAGCTTGCGAAAGGAATTTCAATCTACACTCAACCACGCCACGTGTCATTAGGCTCGATGTCGTGGCCAAATGCTAACCTCGGCGATTGAAGTCGACGAAAGGGGATCTTGCTTTCTGTTTATGCACGTCGTATGAACCCACTTGCTGTTTAAATGTCTCAACGGTTGGTCTGTGCGACATTGTAACCTATCTCTCATAGTCTGATAGCGTCGTCAAGATTTAGAGTATCCGCTCAGCGAGACCGTTCCGCGTTGCTTGGTGTTCCAAACTATCGCACACCTCCATCCTCAGGACGGTCTTCGCCATTTGGAGAGCCTCAGTTCTCTTCGAATGGGCAACGCCATGTTGATGACCTGGAAGGCCAAAACGATGAACACCTTGAAGGCCTCACCGCGAAGGTGAAGTTACTGAAGGATGTATGTTTGTCAACTGTCCTGTAGTCATGCGATGGTCACTCACCGGTTCTTGCGAACATCTTTAGATAACTATCGGCATTGGCAACGAAGTCCGAGACTCCACTGTCCAGCTCAGTCAGATGGTATGTGAGATTTAACATAGGAACCATGCCCTGTTGACAAGCTCCTATAGAATGATGCCTTTGCGGAGACGGGCGACATTCTCTCTGGGACGTTTCGAAGGATGAACAATATGGCTGAACGAGCTGGGTGTCGCTGGCTTTGGTATATCGTTTTCCTGACCATTGTTTTTTGGTTCTTCATCGTTGTCTGGTGGTTTCGACGGTAGTCCACAATCCCATGCATATATGCACATCCCGTTACTACACACGCACCCTGGACATTAGAGGACCACACGCTAATGTTGAACATTATACTATATACGCTGTACACTACCGTCGACCAAAAAGCATTCCTAGACCCGGCACCGACAAGATCATTATAGGTCATCTTTTAATTTGGCGTTGCCAATCTCCCAGATCATTCGCCGTCGCAGATAGGTCATGTTGTCCTGGGAGAAGTTGAATTTCTCCTCGCCCCTCGACAACGATTCTAAGAACTGGCAAGTAAAAACTCCACAATCGAAGCCATTCTCTTGTTGGGGTGTGTCCTTGCAACGGCATTAGCTTCGGTAGCAGGGGACGGTAAGGAGATTCACCTCCGGCACATGATCTTCCCAACCGGTGAAGTCGAATGGTTTTTTCTTTTTGTTGCGATGTTCAGCATCGAGGTAATTGCGCAGCAACTGGGAGCGCGTGTGGTTAGAGACTGCGGTTGTAAATTGAAAACATCTAACCTTGCAAACCGTTTGGCGAGGCATACCCATGCTGTCGTAGGATTCAATTCGTTTCCGGCGAAAGTTGATTGCCGCCGCCGTCCAGTGAGCGTTGTTGTGGTTCACAGGGATGAGAATGATATCCTTTTCGAAGATGTCGAACTAGAGACGGCGAAGAATTATTTTCCTTCATGTCAGCCTCAGAAAGTGGCCGCACCTTCTTCGTCCACTTTCCCAGTCTCGCCTTTTCGTATCCTTCTCCTTTCAGCTTGGACCAAAAGAATGAGCTGAAGTAGTGCGCATTCAAAGGCTTGCCCTTCCTCTTCCCACTTCTCCCGCCTTTGGCAACCCCATTGGCTGCCGGATTCTCCTTGCTAGAATCTGCCCTTGCAAGTATCATCGCCCCATAAAAATTGATGATCTCGTCGTTCAACCATTGTCCTGGCTTTAATCTCCAGACATCTTTATCTGTAACTTGTTCCCTGGCAAATGACGAAACCACGCCCCGCCGAGCTAGAATAGAATCCACTTGGGCATCCTCTTCCGGCGGTAGAGACGAGGGCAGTTGGGGCCCTCTTAATAGACGGTCTATTTGTTCATCTTTGAACCGAGCTGATATTTGTAATTGTTCCAGTGTCGGGACAAAGGGTTTAGGTGGCTTCGGGCTTCAGCAAGATTATTGGTCAGCGTATGATGTTACCTTCGGTCAAGACCATACCTATTCAATGTCTGTCTGGCCTTCTCTAGCGCACGTTCAAGGAAGCCGTAGGTTACATCCTACAAGCGAGCGATCAACGGGAGACCAAGGAGAACGGATGGACGCCCTACAACTGATATAGAGTGTCGGCGAGTGCGCTGGGGCGTCACAGGTTTCGTCCGGAGATCCGTGAGGGACGGTGAAGCTATAGAAACTAGTGTTATGTCTCGCATTAGAAGCGCTTTTAGCGAGCTTACGGGAGAGATAGTCTCGGCGGTCCAGCATTTCCAGCTTCGCCCTATATTGTAAATAGCCTATGAACGGTTAAGTTGGACGGATCGCTCTGAAATGGAGATTCATACTTTCGAATGTAGACATGTCGGAAGAATAGCCTAAGTTCTCTGGTCAGGTTTACGGCACTTGGAAGACCTACTATGAACTCACCACTCGATCGTCGAAGTTGATACAACTCCTTGACCAACTCTTCCCGGTCTTTCTTCCGCGTGGACTGGACGTTCTCTTTGTGCTGGGAAAACTGTCAGAGTCAAGGGAATGTCCAGAAACCTCGGATACTCACAGTCTTCTCGAATATATGCTCTCTTTTCGGTGCTCTGGCACGACTCCCGCTGCTGACTCTCCGTCTTGCATCCCCAAACGCGGCGTCGATCTCTGGGTATGAAATTGTACTGGACGAGGCAAACGATGATGCGTCTTTGGGATCCTTCTCGTTACGCTAGGAAGACAGTCAGTGTCAAATCAGTGTCCAGGGAGCTGGATACTCACAGTTTTTTCACGTGAGTTTTCCCTGTTTGGCGGTCTAACGTGACTCCCGCTACTGACTCTACTGACTCTCCGTCGCCCTGCATCCCCAAACGCGGCATCGATATCTGGGTATAGAGTAGGAAATGTACTGGACGAGACAAGGCCTTTTGGCGGTCTAGCACGACTCCCACTGTCGACTCTCCGTCGCTCTGCATCTCCAAATGCGACATCTACCTTTGGGTACGGCGTAGGAAAGGTACTGGATGTGGCGAGGGGTGGGGGATATGATGTGGCGATAGATGGAGCGTCTTTACCATGGGAGTATCCATCATTCACATGAGTCAAAGTATGTCCAGAATTCGGGGAGGATGACGATGATACCGTGGGTGGGGGTGGATGAGAACTTCCGCCACCACGCTCTTCGACAGATTTTCGACGGTGGCGCGGGGGAGATCTTGGCGGGGATGGTGGGAGAGGCACATTCAGAGGAGATACGGGAGTTGAGGGAGATACAGGCCGTGGCGTAGTTGCGACAGCCGGAGGTTGTGCAGAGAGGGCTGATGTTGAAGTCAGCATTCTCTGGAACCACGTACCAGACCCTACTGACGGTAATACCTTTCATGAAGGGGCCCATAAAGCTGTGGAACGTATCAGCCAACAGCACAGCCCAACGAGCTCCCAAGCCTTCGTTTTGGTTTGGACTGGAGTTTTCACCAGTGTACCGGTGGCGGGTTGTCCTGGCTTGTTTCGTAGAATAAGTGGGGAGCAAGCCTTCTGGTGCTTTACGTTTCAAAGAGGTCATTTGAAGGACAACCAGCCCAGGGTGCTTGCCGTAGCTATCGCCAGATGCAGTGGATGGTTGGAAGATGAGAGCGGGAGTGACCAGAAGGTGACTTGTGACGTCGCTGAAACAAAGGTCACATACTCACCAAACCTTCACCTCAAATGTCGCTTGCTTGGCTCAGCTGGTTAGAGCGCCGGTCTCATACTAGTGTATGAACGTCACGTGACGTGCGATCCGGAGATCACCAGTTCGATCCTGGTAGCGAGCAATTAGGGGTTATTTTTGATTTTTAGAGTTTAACTCCTACTGACAACCCAGGTTACCATTTAAATTTGGAATTCTTTTAACTCCTTTTGGTTTTACAGGGTTTTGTATTAAAAATAACTAGAATGCACTCTTAGGAACTCGAGATTGGTCATGACATGTGACGTGATAGGTAATACCATATATGGTATTTATATCACGTATATCACGCTAAACTACCCTATTTGAAACGGCTTCTGATGACTCAGCTCGAATTCCTGCTTTCCAGTTTAAAACCTTGTAAGCAAAGGTTATTGGGAAAGGTGTGCCTCAGACTCGTCGCCCTTGCATGTACAGTGCCAAAGTGGAAGGAGGCTATTTCGCCCAGGAAGTGTATCTGTAGCATGAGAATGCCCACTGAAGCTGAAGGCCGGCGAGAGAATATGACGCCACCTGATGCAATGATTAATCGTAATGTAAGGGTCAGAGCCAAGCCAGCAGTGAAACGATCTTGGTGGCAAGTACATGTGAGAGTACAAGAAAAGAGACGATCGCTGTTGTAAGCGAGTGGCTTCTCCGTACGGTCAGTGGAGCCGTAGCGACAAGTCTTCATAATCGTGTCGGGAAAATACGTCTTGGACCATAGCCAAGCGGGTGGGGTTAGAACGGAAAAGCCATGGCTTTGGGAATCCGACAGGATTGCCGAGGGGAAAGTATAAGTACGGTACCATATGTCTTGACGACCTCGTCTGCCTATGATTGAATGCTGTGGGTGTCCTATGGGGCAAGTCCGAAGCCCAAATAATGGCGGGAGTTTGAGGGTACCTTGGGTGATAACTAGCGCCTGCTAATCGACTATTCCAGCCACCAGCTAGGGATTCTGGCCAAACTCTCGAGCTAAAGTCTGCTGCATCAATTTGCCAGTCAGAGGGGCCCCTCACTGGCCAGTCAGAGGGTCCAGCTACAAGAACCAGCAAATGGAACGAGCACTGAGCGTGGGAACGGTCCACTAAAGACGGTACCTCGGCCCATACGGCGCAACGCTTCGGCTTGAACAGCTCTCCTCCTGTTAAAGGGTCTTGACTCCGACCACCTGAGACCATTCGCCTGCCCATTTCCACCCTGTGTTATCGTTGTCTACCCACACCGGGCTCCTGCGCTATTTAAGCCCCCAGTATCTACCAGATTTCCCTTACCCCACCCTTTCCTTTGACCTGCCATCGTCACTCCAACTCAGCTCACGACACCGGAGCTTAGCCTACCAGCCAAGATGGGCATGAGATATCGTCAGTACCTTCACGGAGCTCGCATCTATGGGTGTAGTCAATGCAAGACTCATCTCGCGACGATCCATTCAATGATCTCTCGAGTGAGTCCTTCCTTTCAAGCGAGTACCCTCCAATGCTAACCTATTCATCTACGATACAGGCGTTCAACGGCCAACACGGTCGAGCTTACCTGTTTGAAGTGGTGTACGCATGCTTTTCGACGTATATGAAATGCATTCACTGACCGCCCACCTTCTTTTGTGTAATGTGTTCAGGGTCAACGTAATTGAGGGTGAACCCGCGGACCGCCAAATGACCACCGGGAACCACACCGTACGCGATATCTACTGCGTAAAATGCGGAACGACTTTGGGATGGAAATACGTGAGTTTTCCTTTCCTCTCCCGTTCCTGTCCGCACTTAACACCCGTCCCTGCAGGATCGAGCCTATGAACCTTCCCAGAAATACAAGGAGGGCAAATTCATCCTCGAACGCAACCTCCTGGTTGACGTGCAGTAGTCTCACCACATCCGGTGGCATCCCCTTGCACCACCAAACTACCGGGAGTACATTCACGGTCAGGCAACAATTCTTCGCATCTCGTGTCCTTTCGACACAACCATCGCGCATACACTCACCTTACAACCACTCACCTACCGAGCTCAACCGCAATGCACCTACACACTCGTTCATTCGCGGTCGTCAGCTGGTCGTCATAGAGCCCCGTCCATCTTGATCGTCGCCATAGCTCCATCGCGTACCTCGTTTCTTCATCCATCATCATCGGACCTCAATGACTTGTGCATACTAACGCACCACAATATCGCATTTGACTTATTATCGAACCTCACCACTTATCTGTCGTACGGCGGGCTTTTTCGTTTGTTTCGGAGGTTGTATATCGTTTCCATGAAGAAGCACGGAAGGAGGCGTTGAAATGGCTTGGCGGGGCGATTTCTCTATGGCCACTGGCCGTACGGTTTCCGCCAGCTGATGCTTGCCCATACACCCTCCCTCTGCTTTCGTTGCTTCCCACCATTCCAGTGTATTTTAATCTATCTTCGCGCTCGGTTAGGCCATGCGCTTCTCCTTTCACAAATTGCATTCTTAGAACTTACTTACTCTGACCTTACTTTGAACTCTAGTATCGGTCCCCCTCATCTTTGTAAATCATGCACCATCACGCCCACGACCATGTCGACTCCAGTTTTGTTAACGCTATGAACCGTTTCTCCTGTATATTGTTTCCGGTGCTTTGTCCATATGTATGTACTATAGAATTTCGATCTTGCTGTACATGTTCCACTCGTGGTCTTGCCACTTCGCCCTATACTTATCATGATCAAAAGCTGATGAGGAGGGTCGTTGGCTTCCAATAAACGGTGGCTGTGGGTTGGTTAAACTGACAATCAGTTCCATTTGATGGACTTCCGGGATAGCCTTCCTCGCGATGTCGTCGAATCGAATTCAGACGGGAGCTATGAATGGGGCAATCGGGGACAGGAAGCCGTCGTGAGCGTGCACCTGTTCATTGAATCTGCTCAGCCACGTTCGTAGCATCGCTCTGATGAATATGATCAATATCGATGGGGTCAAAGTAACATGACCATTGAGATTCTGCGGTGTTCATTGCGACACAGCATAGATTTCTATCACAGCCGGGAATTGAGTATCGGATAGGGGCGGCCTTGTTATCATTCTTGTTACAAGAGTCTCGCGAGGAGGCGAATCACGGGTATCAAACATGCGACAATTATAGATTGTTAAAGCCGGTGTCGGTTGTAACAAACATGGGAAACGACAGACGAGGGACAAAGTATTGCAGAGCCACAATACATAACAATGTCGTCTGAGGTTCGGTTTTCACTATAAGCGGAGTGTCAAATAGGCACAGGTAGAAGGCAAACATATGAAGATTCGAATTGGTATGGGAGGGAGTGAGATATCAAGGGGCTAATAGCCACAGATCACTCCGAACACGTCGGGAAGTATGATGGATCTGTGGACAAAGGAAGTACGGGGAGAGGACTGACCGTGTGTAACCGAGCAAGGCACTGTAACGACAGCACATTGCTGCCAGATTGATGAGATCCAAAGTGCCATTGACCTAGCGGAGTTGGCGCAGAGATCATGATGCAGAGCCATAAACATCGGAGACCACGGTGGAATGAAAGCTAGTAAATCGTCGGCGAGAAAAGAAAATGGCCAGAAAATCCGGGCGAACTTGTTGGCTATCCATTTCTAAATATGACGAGGTGGTGTCCGACACCGAATTCCGGGCGTCTTGCCATAGAGGCTTGAAAACGATGAAAGCGACGTAAGATAGCCAGGAGATCTTTGTGGTGTGACTGGCAATAATTCATGGCCTGGGAGGGGGGCTATAAGTACATATGACAGTCAGCCTGGAGTGCGGATGGGGGCGAACCGGGAGGAGGAGAGCCGGAGCAGATGGTCGCGTTATTTGTACATGTTTTTTTCTGATGGCGCTGGGGTTCGGCTTCGCCCCAAAGATGTGAGCTGTCTTTCATGTTACCCACTCTCGTTAATTTCCTGTATTTATTCTCGGGCATTCACCCCAATCCCCAACTCTCCTCTGTTCTCCACACGCCTTTTGAAACCTTTCAAATACCGTTGCGTTTCGCATCGTCGTCCAGACCCAACGTTCGTTCCTCATCCCACTCAGCCACCATTACAAATTAGCTCTGTGCACCAACAATAATGGGTGAGCTTACTCCGGAGCTATCTCTCATGCTCCTTCTAATGTCTCTTGCTCCTTTCTAACCTCTCTTTTGTTCTCTAGCCACTGCAACCATGTCCGTCGCCATGTCGCCATTCGCCCGCCCATCCGCAGCAGCTCCCACCATCTCATCACCTCTCGCCTCGTCATCGTCGCGTTCTCTCGGTCTTAACCGACCAACACCCACTCGCAACGAGTCCTTTGCTCGTTCCCGACCACTCCGACCATTCCCATCCATCGCCAACTCCCTCTCGCACCCCAGCTCAAAATCATCCGGTCTCTCTGCTCCGGGAAAGAAACCTGTGAAGCTCATCGAGCCACCAAAACGATTCCAGGGCGGCTCGTTCACCCTAAACCTCACTCAGGCCGAGTTGAGCAGGCAGGACTGATGGTGCGCCTTGGTGTTGTGGCGTCGAGGTGACGTGGGTATGACCCGCGCGGAGAACATGCCTATTCCATTATTGTTATCGCCTTGCCCAGCTCCAGGTTATACCCTTGTACGCCCATTTACCTGCAGACTTTTCCCTTCGCCCTGTCGTCCGTTCTACTCGTCGATATTACCCTTCATCCGGTCTTTGTACACATATTCCGACTGTTCGACCCCGTTGTACTTGTCTCCTGTTCCACCACGTTGTTTCCATAGAGCGCCTTGCCTGTGCAGTCCCGTAATCCTAATCCTTTACATATTAGTTATGTTTCACCTAGAGTACATGAGATTCGGGATGTTGTTTGTGAAGCGTAGCTTGCAATGCAATGTGGATGGGTTTTTGAAAGCACAGTTAGAGTTGAAGTGACGTAGCCTCGCTCTGCGACGCGTCATGACTGAAATACACTCAATTCCATATCTCGGACAGATACGAAAGTCTGGGGTTGCATATCCCGACATATTCCGGGTGAGTTCGTGGTGGGCGGGTGTCCGTGGGCGACAGTGTCTCCCACAGGCGCAAGGCCGTATGGGTGACTCTTGGCACTGGCAGGGCGTAGGGGTTTTAATTGACAAAGAGAGCTGATATTGGAGC